GCTTCCCGCTGAGCAGGGAGCCCAATGCAGGGCTTGATCCCAGGACCCTGGGATCATGACCTGAGCCGAAGGCAGATGCCCAACCAACTGAGCCACCCAGGCACCCCAAGATTTTATTTTTAAGTAATTTCCACACCCAACGTGGGGCTTAAACTCATGACCCCGAGATCAAGAGTAATATGCAGGGTGGGCTTCCCGGAGGAAGTGAACAATGTGCAGCATTGACTAGGGAGTGGGATGAGGTGGGGTGAAGGGGGGAGGAGAGCCAGACCTATAAGAGTCCAAGGGGTCCTTGATGTGGCTACAATGTAAGGTTCAAGTGTTCCTGGCAGAGGGAACAGCCCGTGCAAAGGCCTGGCCGCCAGAAAGCTGGGCACTGTGGAGGGGCTGAGTGGAGAGAGCCAAGGGGCTGGTGCAAGAAGGGGTTGAGGGAGCAGACCATATGGGGACCCGAGGGCCATGCTGAGGTGTCTGGTCTTTATCTCAAGAGCAATAGGGAGCCAAGGAAGGTATTTGAACAAGGAAGTGATGTGATGCCGTTAATACTAACAGATTGTGGGGCGCCTGGGTGGCTCAGTTGGTTGAGCATCTGACTCTTGGTTTGGGCTCAGGTCATGATCTCATGGTCATGAGGTTGAGCCCCCTGTCAGGCTCTGCACTGGGCATGGAGTCAGCTTGGGATTCTGTCTGCCCCTCCCCCCACTCACACATGCGTACACTCCCACTCTCTCTCTTTCAAAATAAATAAATAAAATCTTAAAAAAAAAAAAAACACTAACAGGGGGCGCCTGCGTGGCTCAGTCATTAAGCATCTGCCTTCAGCTCAGGTCATGATCCTAGCGTCCTGGGATCGAGCCCCACATCGGGCTCCCTGCTCCCTGGGAAGCCTGCTTCTCCCTCTCCCACTCCCCCTGCTTGTGTTCCCTCTCTCACTGTGTCTCCCTCTGTCAAATAAATAAATAAAGTCTTAAAAAAAAATACTAACAGATCATTAATGTTAAGAGATCACTCTAGGGGCGCCTGGCTGGCTTGGTCGGTAGAGCACCCGACTCTTGATCTCAGGGTCATGAGTTTGAGCCCCGCATTGTGGGTAGAGATTACTTTAAAAAAAAAAGAAAAGAAAAGAAAATCTCTCTGGCTCTTTCCTGCAGAACAAGTCAGAAGACAAAGTGTGGAGTGGGAAAACCAGTATTAAGAGACAGTGGCATTTGTGCAAGTAAAAAGAGGTGGCTGGCCTTCAAGGCCTCACATGGTCTGGCCCTGGTTCCTCCCCTGACCTCACCTCCCACCACAGTGACTTTGTTGCACCAAACACACCAGCTCTGTCCTGCCTCAGGGCCTTTGCACATGCTGTTCCTTCTGCCTGGCCCAGGCCTCTCCAAGACATCCTCACAGTTCATACCTGAGTTTGCAGCTGCACCCAGCCCAACACTCCCATTCCCCTTATCTTGCTCTACTTCTTGTTCCATATCCCTGACCACACTCTAGCACATTCCATTATGCACTTTTATTTGTTTATTGCTGCTTCCCCCCACCCCCACCCCCAGGCCTTGGGCTCCATGAGGGCAGAAATCTCTGTCTTATTTCCTGTGGTATCCCTGGCAATTTACCACAGTACCTGGCACATACTAGGTGCTTGGTTAATGTTTATCAAATGAATGAATGAGGGGGAGAGAACTGTAGAGATTCAGGAGGTCCTTAGAAGGCACAACGGCCAGGGCTTGGTGATGGATCAGATGAGGAACTTAGGGAGAGGGAGGCTCTAGAAGGCTCTCAGGTGTCTGGCTTGAGAGCTGGGTATGAATGGACCCCATGTCTGAGGCTGGAAATCCGGGAGAAAGGCAGATTCTAGGAGGAGACAATGGAATGAATTTTGCACTGGAGATACAGAGCTGGAGGTGCCCAAAGGTGGCAGGGGAGGAGCTCCAGAAGGTGGTTCTAAGGGAGATTTAGGATATGCTGATGGGAAACCAGCCATGCAGGAGCTCCCCTGGCAGAGCTCAGAGAGAAGCAGACCCAGGAACCCCAACATTTAGGAGAAATGGACTCAGGCCAGAGCGAGGCTGCAGGCTCTCCTGGTCGGTCAGGTGTCCAAAGGGAGGGAGGGAGAGGGGTGGGAAGGACGGGCCAATAAGTTTCCAGGGCGTCCTGGATGTGGCTGCTCAGAGGTGCTAGGTGACCTTGGAGTGGGTGGTGGGCCATGGGCCAAGGACTGTGTGGGAGGGTTGAGAAGGGTCCGCAGGGAGTGTGGGACAAATATTTATTCAGTGCTAGCTCTATGCCCAGCGCTAGGACAAGGGTGGCAAATGACCCACATTGTGCCAGCCCTTAGGGACGTCATGTTCGCAGGGTGGGGGTGGGCAGGGAGTGAGAAGATTTTGGAAAGAAATAGGCAGGGGCCGGGCCTGGGGGAGGGGATGGGCAAGGCCAGGGCTGAGGGAGGGAGGGTTTCAAGGCCAACGAGAGGGAGGAGAGAAAGGAATGGGGTGGGGGAGTCAGGTCCCTGGGAAGAGGTTGGAGGATTTGAATCCCCCCCCCCCAGTGCCCACATAATCATGGCACTCATGCTCATATTATCCTCAAGTTCTTAAGACTTAGAGTTGTCTTTTTTTGGTTGTGCGTTTTGGTCTCTGACTGCTCACTGTGGGGTGCAAATACCAGCCCTGACAGTTGTCACATGACCCTTGGAGCATCGGTCACCTGCTCAGTCTCCTCCCCTGGGAAAAGGAGCTATGGACAGTCCCTTCTTCTGGGTTTGTCCTGAGGATTCAATGAGCTGATCTGTGTGAAGAGCTGACAACAGGGCCAGGCACATAATAGATAAATTCAGGGGCGCCTGGGTGGCTCAGTCGGTGAAGCATCTGCCTTTCGCTCAGGTCATGATCTCGGGGTCCTGGGAGTGAGTCCCGCATCGGGCTCCCTGCTCCGTGGAGTCTGCTTCTCCTCTGTGCTCTCTCTCTCAAATAAATAAATAAAATCTTCAAAAAATAGAAAAATTCAATAAATTCATTCATTTATTCAAAAGATATTTATTGAGCACCTATTACGTGACAGACACCTGAATACCAGGGGTGAAACAAAGTAAGAAATTGCAACCATCCCTCATGAATTTTTGCATTCTGGTGGGAGAGACAGAGGATAAGCAAATAAGTAAAATAGATATGGTGTGTGAGAAGCAGGTGTTATGTTACAGAGAAAAGGAATCAGGGGGGCACCTGGGTGGCTCAGTCATTAAGCGTCTGCCTTCGGCTCAGGTCATGATCCCAGGTCCTGGGATCAAGCCCCGCATCGGGCTCCCTGCTCGGCGGGAAGCCTGCTTCTCCCTCTGCCACTCCCCCTGCTTGTGTTCCCTCTCTCGCTGTGTCTCTGTCAAATGAATGAATAAAAATCATAAAAAAAAAAAAAAGGAATCAGGAATAGGGATGGGGACCTAGGGGTAAGCAGGTTGCAGTTTTAAATAGGATGGTCAGAGGGGCGCCTGGGGTGGCTCAGTCAGTTAAGTATGCCCCACCCTCCCACCCCCCGCCTGTGCCCAGCGGGGAGTCTGCTTCTTTCTCTCCTTCTGCCCCTACCCCTGCTCTTGCCCTCTCTCTCTCTCCCTCCCTCTCTCAAATAAATAAATCTTTTTTTAAATTTAAAGATTTTATTTATTTATTTTGACAGAGAGACAAAGAGAGTGGGAACACAAGCAGGGGAAGTGGGAGAGGGAGAAGCAGGGTTTCTGCTGAGCAGAGAGCCCGATGTGGGGCTCAATCCCAGGACCCTGGGATCATGACCTGAGCCAAAGGCAGACGCTTAACGACTGAGCCACCCAGGCGCCCCTCAAATAAATAAATCTTTAAATAAATAAATAGGACAGTCAGGGTTGGCCTCATTGAGAAGGTGACATTTGAACAAGATTTGGAATTGTTGAGGGACTAGGTTTACCTGGGACTGTCCCAGGTTAGTCCTGAAAGTGTTCGGAATGTCCCATGTCCTCAGAAGCGCTTCAGTCCTGGGCAAACTGGAATGGCTGGTCACCCTAGGAGTGAGTCCCATGCGTATCAGAGGAAAAGTACTCCAGACAGAGGGAACTGCAAGTGCAAAGGCCCTGAGGTTGGAATGCTCAGGGTATGTTTGAAGTTACGGTCCTCAGAAAAGGTGGAGGCTGTTTTTGAGGGAGTGGAGAAAGTTTGAAAGAGCTGATGGGGTGACCCAGAGAGGGAGCTAATTTAGATTCCCACTCTGGAAACCACTTAAGGGAACCTGTTTATAGTCATTAATCTTTAGCGGCAGGAACAGGTCTTGCCAGGCCAGCTCAGCTGTCAAAGGAAAGCGAGGAGAAGGAGAAAATTTGAGTTTATTCAAGGTCATGTGTAGTGAAAGAGCTGAGAGACAGAGGAAGGGAAGAGAGGGAGAAAGAATTAGTTTAGGGACCTCCGGGGAGCCAGAGAGTTGCCGGGGAGAAGCTGGTAAAATGGGTGCATTTCATGAAGGTCTCCCATGTCACATTCTGACCACAGAGTTCTCCCTAAAATTCAGAGATACCGCCCTCATGGATAAAAGATCTTCCGCCCATTTTTGCAAAATATGCAGTCATCTTGCATTTTCCTATCTTGATTTGGACATGAGTTTGAGTAACATATAAAGACCCGGGGTGGGGGAGACAGAGACCTAGAGAGAGGGGGACTGGGACGGGGTTGGGGGGGGGAAGGTGGGGAGGGTGGTGGGGGAGGGGGACAGGGACACAAAGGGAGGGAGGGAAAGAGAGAGGTAGTAGAGGAGACATAGAGAAAAATGCCTTCCAGACATGGAGGGATTCCTTAAGCAGACCCAGAGACCCTGCGGCAAACCAGTGAAGGTGCCCTCTTGAGTTCTAGAATGCTGTCGCTACAAGGCCCCGAGATCCATTAGGGAACATACCAGGGCAATGGCCATTGGCCCAGGCATCAAGATGTGTTTCAGTGTGGCTGGGGGAACCCAGGGGCTCAGGTGGCTGACTTTGCCTTCTGTCTCCCCAGCTTGCCCTCCCCCACCTGCGGAAGAGCCAGGGGAACGTTATCAACATCTCCAGTCTGGTGGGGGCCATTGGCCAGGTCCAGGCAGTTCCTTATGTGGCCACCAAGGTACCCTACCTCTTCCTTCACTCCCTACCAGGCCCTCCAGGTACCTCGGCCCTGAAGCATGACAACTTGTGGCGTGTTGTCACGCGCCAAGTGTCTCCCAGGAAACAGAGCCTGGTGCATCCCATGGAGGCCAGCAGGGAAGGCATGACCTCCCCATTCTGATGCCCCAGCTTGACACCCCCTTGTTGGAGGAGAGAACAAGAGGGACCTCGTCTTCCCTGGACTGAACTCCCCCCCCCCCCCCATCATCTTCCACAGGGGGCAGTAACAGCCATGACCAAAGCCTTGGCCCTGGATGAGAGTCAATATGGTGTCCGGGTCAACTGGTGAGCAGCTCCAAGTGGGCAGAGAAGGCTGGGAGTGAGCCCAAGAGGCCACGTTTATGGCACACTTCCCTGATCCCCTCTTCTCCCTTCCCACAGTATTTCCCCGGGAAACATCTGGACCCCACTGTGGGAGGAGCTGACCACCTCAACACCTGACCCCACTGCTACAGTCCAAGAGGGCACATTGGCCCAGGTGGGAGTGGGGCCAGATCCCGGGGGTATGGGCGTGGCTCAGGGCGCGGCAGTCAGACCAGGTGCTTCACTTGGTCTCCTTTTCCCCTGGTCTCTCCCCAGCCCCTGGGCCGCATGGGCCAGCCGGCTGACGTGGGGGCCGCTGCCGTGTTCCTGGCCTCCGAAGCTAACTTCTGCACTGGGATCGAGCTGCTTGTGAGCGGGGGTGCAGAGCTGGGGTATGGGCGCAAGGCCATCCCGGACACCCCCGTGGAGCTCCCCACCATCCCTTCCTAATTTCCCACATTTCCACTTGGGCCTTCCTGACTAGAACTCCCACCCCAAGCTCAGACTCCCAGATTTCAGCGTCTACCATCTGCCTCTTAGGTGCAGACCCCAGCTCTAGACGTTAACTCCACTTACCAATGTGCCAAACTACCCCGCAAGTTCCCATAAAAGGAGTTTGCAGCCAGGAGGAGGGCGTCATGACATTTCTTTTCTGCCCTTGAGTTCTGCCACGCGGGGACCGCGTGCCAGTTCCCAGCCCCACGGGTTCCCACGCGTAGCCTCGACCCGAGGGACTACAACTCCCGGCAGGCCTTGCAGCAGGCTCCTGGGGAAAGTATTGCCCGTCGGCTTCGCCCCTGCTAATACAAAGGCCCGCAGGGGAGAATAAATTAAACCCTATTAGGAGACAATAGTGGAGGTGAAACAAAAGGGCCTCCTCGTTAATCCTGGTCGTTCAGGGAAAGGAGATTTGACCTCGCTGGCTGAGGAATAGGAGGGTGGCGGGCTCCAGAAGTTCTGTGGGAAACAGCAGCTAGGGTTGAGAGTACTGGGCAAAGGGAGGAGGCGCTGGGATCCGGACTCCTGGGTCTGGGGGAGAAGGAAACATAGGGGGCGTGGGCTCCCCAGTTGCGGAAGGGCGGAGCCTGGATTCCCCCAGGGGCGCGGGGCCCACTTTGGGTTGAATCTCCTCAGTGAGGGGGGTGGGCCTGCATGGCTGCTGCGGATTGGCCGCCGCGGGGGGGTGTGCGGCAATCGCTGATTGGCTGAGGCGGGGAGGGCGCGGCCGTGGCTGCCGCGCCCCTCGGGCCCTAGGCCACGTAGTGGGAGAGGAGGACTGGGGTGTAGGAAGCAAAATTGGATGATACTCTGAGGGGGGAGGGCCGGGAATTTGCCGAGGCCTGTGGCTGTTAGGGCTGGGCGACAGTGACCCGGGGACAGAATTCGGGGGCAAAATATCCCAGAGCCGAATTGTGGGGGCACGGTGGCCCAGGAATCGGAGTTTGAGGACTCGACAGGAAAAAGATTTTGGTTCTTGTAATCCGGATGCAGGAGTTGGGGGAACTCTGACCACAGGAGGTTTTGGGGCCACAGTGACCAAGGAGTTCGGTATAGGGGGCACTAATGCAGGTTTGAATTGCTAGGCATTAGAGGGATCCTGATGAACTATAATTAGCTAACTCTGCCCCTGGGGGTCCTGTAGTTGCGGAAATACTCACAAGGGGGCATAACCAGGTAACCTTGCCCTAGGGGCTCGAGGGGCTGTTCTTAGAGGCTCACTCATGCGTTGGTGGATTAAAATTTTTCGGGCCTCACTGATGGGACCGGAACCGTGTGTGTTGTATCTTTTTTTTTTTTTTAAGATTTTACTTATTTGACAGAGAGAGAACCCAAGTTCTCTCTTGCTAGGCAGAGAGGCAGGCAGAGGGAGAGGGAAAAGCAGGCTCCCGGCGGGACTCGATCCCAGGATCCCGGGATCATGACCTGAGACCTGAGCTGAAGGCAGACGCTTAACTGACTAAGCCATCCAGGCACTCTGTTGTATATTTTTTTAATATGATACTTATTTATTTGAGAGAGAGTGCAAGCGGGCAGGGGGGGGGGGGGCGGAGGTAGAGAGACAAGCAGACTCTGCGCTGAGCGCAGAGCCAGCGGAGGGACTCCATCCATCTCTTGACCCTGAGAGCATGACCTGAGCTGAAATCAAGGGTTGGAGGCTTAACCGATTGAGCCACCCAGGCACCCCTATTTATTTCAGATATTTATTTATTCTAGAGAGAGAGTGTGCATATGCGAGCTAGGAAGAGGGGCAGAGGAGGAGGGGGAGGGAGAGGCAGAGAATCCCAAGCTGACTCTGTGCTGTGTGGGACTCAATCTCAGGACCCTGAGATCATGACCTGAGTGGAAACTAAGAGTCTGACGCCTAACGGACTGAGCCACCCAGCTGCCCCGCGTGTGTTTTATCTCTTAAAAAGTTACAACGAATACACATACATTTTCTCCTTGGAAAGAAAAACTATATTCAAACAGGGGTTGACTGCAACTCCTTCATCCATCCCTACCTGCCACCCTCTTCAGAGGCCTTTTTCCGAAGTCCTTTCCCTTTTCATTTACATGATACACGCACCCACTGACACCTAACGACACTTAACAGCGAGTGCTTTGCCTTATCACCACGGGATGGAGACGTGCGGAGGTCCCTGCTCCTGGCCTTTCAGCTCTCACCTCGGGCTGCTCATCCTCGTTAGCGTCCCGTGACAGTGCCTATTAAAATGCATTTTTTTAAAAACTTCATGCACTCTGTTGCGCAGCAATTGTGTGGCTGGAACGGAATCTGGGTGGGGGTGGGGAGGAGGGTGCACGTCCATGTACTCCCCTAGCCCCGCGGATTCCAGAGCATGCGCTCTCTAGCAGGGCCCCGCTCCCCGCAGGCGCCCTATAATTGGGGCGGCCCGACCCACCAGGGGCGTAGGGCAAGCAGCCCTCCCGCGGAAGGGGGCGTGAGCGGGGCGGGGCCGGAACGTCTTTCTCCCGCGCGGCGGCCCGGGCGGGCACAGTTCCCCGCCGCACCGACCATGGCCGCAGCCGCGCTGGGGCAGGTGGGTTCGTGGCCCCGGGCCGGGGAAACGGGGGGGGGGGGAGGGGGGAGGGGGGGAGGCCCACTTCCGGGTGGACCACTAGCTCCAGGCCCCGTCCGGCGTCGCGCCCCCGGCGCTCGGGTTCCGCTGCCGGGCGCCGAGAAGGAGGGGCCCCTTGGAGAGGAGCTCGAGGCTTTAAGGGCGAGGGAGGTGGAGGGAGGTAGTTGGTGGGACGGGGCCGCCAACGGGAGGTAGGAGGGAAACATGGAGGGGGGTACGGTTAATGGGACAGGCACAGGGCTGCGTGGGGTGGGGGCGGTTAAGGAAGGGATAACAGCCAGCCTGTGGGGGCGCCGGGATAAGACACCCCGAACTTCTAGGGGTGCGGGTAGGACGAAGGCACAGATCTCAGGTCTGGACTGGGAATTGGACCCAAGGCCCCTGAAAGTTAAGATGTATGTGGACTGTGCCTGCGAGCTCTTCTCCGAAGCTGCGCATCAGGGTTGGAAAGGGACCCTCTTCCGACTGGCACAGAGACAGATCCTCCCGGTCCATTCTTACCCAGAAGCGGCCGACCAGCAGAGTTTTGGAGAGCGGGATTTTACAGCACAGTTTCTCAGCGAGGAAGGAAACGCTAACAGCTCACAGAAGGGATGTTTAGAGCCCTGCACAGCGGCAGCATCACCCCGGGAGAAGTGTTGTTCGCGTCCAGTTCTGCCCCTGACCCCGTCTGGGACTCCTACCCCAGCCTGATGGAGAGCAGGGCACATTGTTACTGTTCCGAGTCTGGGGTGACTGACGCTGGGCTGTGACTGGGACCATCTGGGCTCTGGTGGTGCCACTTCTGGGTTGTGGTGGGAGAGTCCCGGGCAGTGGCAGGGACAGTTTGGGGTTGTGATGGTGGAGAGTCTCGAGCTGCCGTTGAGCAGTCTTGGTCTGCGATGGGAGAGTCCTGGGCTATCATGGGACAGTCCTACATGTGATGGGATCGGTCCTGGGCCACAACGAGGACAATTTGGGGCTTTGACTGAGACCCTTTGGGGCTGTGATAGGGACAGTCCCTGGCTGAGATAAAGGACAGCACTGCATTACAAGGGGGACCCTTCCTGGGCTGTGATGGGGGTGACAGTCCTGAAGCATGAAGGACAGTGCTGAACTATGACAAAGACAGTCCTGGGCTTTGATGGTGACGTTCCTGGGGCCATGCTGACAGAATGGTCCTGGATTGTGCTGGGGACAGTCCTAGGCTGTAATGAGACACAGGGGAGGCTCCATCACATTGCAGAGCCCTGCTCTGTGCCCTTCCCCCCCAACCCTTCCTTGTTTCTTAATTCAGCCCCAATCTTTTCACACTCTTTGTCCCAGTAGCCCATCTACCATCCCTTGGTCCCAATCCCCATGGCTTGGGGTGTCAGATGGCAGAGCACTTTCCCTGAGCTGAGGGGAGACCCCCCACCCCCGCTCCTACAGAAATGTCCTTGAAGGATGAAAGCAGCTTCTCTCAGGGCAAGAGGGTCCTGATGGTCAGTGCTGATGTACAACCTGGACACTGCCCGGCTCCTTCTCTGTGCCCCGTGCATGTGTTTTTCTGCCTCTCCCTTCTCTCTCTCCTGGATATACTCTGCCTCTAAGCATCCCTGAGAAGTTTGTCTCCAGGCGTTGACATCGCTGTCTTTCTGTCTTTCCTCGTTTCTCTGGGTCTCGTTTCACTTTGTGCTGTCACCTGAAATCTGGTCGTTGCTTACTTTTTCCTCCTTCAGCCTCTCCGTATCTCACCCTTGGCCTTTTTCTAGATTTCTCCAGACTTCACTTTGCCTGAGTTTGCCTCCCTATCTGTCTCTCATGCCAGTCTCTCTTTATGATCATATCTATTTTGGCATCTTGTGTTCTTGATTTCTGTTCTCAGTTTGGTTTCCATTTCTGGTTTGTTTTTTTTTTTTAAGATTTTATTTTTAAGTAATCTCTCCACCCAACACGTGGCTTGAACTCAAGACCCTGAGATCAAGAGTCACCTGCTATTCCGACTGAGCCAGCCAGGCACCCCCTCAGTTTTGTTTTCTATGTCTTTTTGTTTTCTCATTCTTGCTTTTCCCTCTCTTTTATTTTTTCTTCCATTCTGGCTCCTCCAGGGCTCTCCTGTCCAGATACTGGCTGTCTCTGCCCTGGGTGTCTTATCTTTTCTCTATGCTGTGCGTGTCCTGTTCCCTCCTGGACGGAAGCCTAGCCACAGACTTGGGTGGGCTACACAGCGCCACCTAGAGGCCATGCCGTGAACCTACACTCTGATCCGCCCAGAAGCCCTTGGGCCCCACACTATCCGGAACCACTCCTCAGACTTCACGCTCCGCAGCCCCCATCTCCCCATGACTCACCTACTGACCAGTGACTGCTGCCACTCATGTTCGTTCTCACTGTTTGGTGTCCGCTCACCCAGCTCACTGGACAGGAGGAGGCTAGGCTGTTCCGTCTGCACCAACTTCATGACCCAGCTGCTTTCCCGCCAGGCTGGGAAAGAGGCATTATAAGGTCAAAGAATACTGGGGAGAGGCCACCCTGATGGACACAGACCGATTTGCTCTCCCTCGTTTGTCTCAGGCAAATGTTTATCT